TTCATGGCAACTAAACAACAAAATAATGTTACTACTTGAAGCAAATAGAGAAAAAAGAATGATGAGTGTAAGTTAGTAATGAAACTTGACCTTCTCATTAAGAGTATAAAACTTTTAATATAAATTGTTTGATAACGTTGTTTTCTTTATACATTGTTAGTGTGGCATAGACATTCCAACTATCATGTTACTAATTCAAGTTTATAAATATTAAATGTAATTTAAGAATATAAAATGTTTCCATTAAACATCATTAGTTTGTATCAATTAATAATTAAGATCTTGTTTATGTTTAGAAATCATGTACTTAGGGTGTGTTTGATAACCTAAGTAGCTTAAAAAATTAAGTTGTAGTACTTAATATAAAAAGTTTAATTGAAAATCTAAATAATCTCATATTTAAAATTTAAATTCAATCAAAATTCACTTAATTAGGTAAGTTAAATTTTTTAACTTAAAATTTTTTTATTAACACGCTCACTTAAAAGATTTTTAAAACTTTTTAAATATGACTATATAGCTCTCATATATTCTTATAATCATATCTATACAAACCGATTGAGAAACGATCTCTATAATCCCCATTATCAAAATAAAAAAGACTCGCTATAATTAATTATTAACTTGAACTTGCCTTTATTTCTTCTCATGATTAATTGAAACTTGTGTTTCCTTGTACAATGCAATTGCTATGGATCCGGGCTCCCATCAACTTGAAGCTTCTTCAATTCTTGAGTAACATGATCGTACAAGGCTAGTTGTCCCTCACTCATTTCCATAAACAACCCACCGTTCTTTTAGAATCCTAAAGGCCGTTTAATTCATGTAAGTAGTCTAATGGATATAAATTTAGTCCACGATTCCTTAACACCATATTGAAGCAGCACCCATATGTCAAAATACTTTGATAATCATTTTTTTTTTATTATAGACAACCATAGCGAGTGGAACCACATAACATGAGTAAATCCTCACCAAAGATCAAAAAAATTAGAACAAAGATAAGAAAAAAGCTTCGGGGACAAGCATATAAAAAAAAACCTCAATGCTCATGTCAAAGGAAACAACGCTACAACCTTTGGCTTGATTATTTCCCCACTAAGAACAGCTTATTTGCCCACCAAGAGCGCATCATGTTTGTGTCACGAAGTGTCCGTATTTAAGCAAGATGAATTTTTATTTATTTATTTATACACATAAACACATCTATGTATATATTTTTATTTATGTTAGAAAAAATATCATGTTACAATTGCAAGGTTAAAATTATCATGTATATAGCATTAATATATTCAAGCAACAACACTTATCAAACAACTTTGTTATATTCGAGCACTTAATTTTTAATAAATACAAAACAGACTTATCGAGTAACATATTCAAGTACTTAACATATTTAGCATTTAATTTTTAGTTTTATCAAACACTACCTTAGTGTTGAATGTTTTTATTATTTATTAAATGACTTGCATCATGTATTTAAGAAAAAAAAAACATATCAAATAATCTACTTACATCTTGTACCACTTAATAATTTATACAAAGATATGTTTTCTTTTGTTCTACAATAAGGATATTTTTGGACTCGTTTATGAATCAATCAAGACTAAATTCATCTTCGGATGATTTTAAACACGCATTCCCTACATCAATCTAGTACAATTAGAAGAATTTAATAAATTTTATTTGGTGCTAACCCAAAGTTAGAACCTAAAAAATCAAGGGATGGACCAAAATTTTTTAACCACTAGCCGATCCCTCCAAGTTATAATTGATACAAAGATGATGGGTATAATAGTAAAGGTCAATAATAAATATAGTATTAAAGGTCGCTAGCTTACTAAATTTACATATAAATTAACCATAATTATTTTAGATCATATATTCACACCCACAAATAGAATTATCTTAACCACTGAAATTCTAGATGAGTCTGAAACAAAAATAAATTTGGTCAATAATTTATGAATATATTGACTAGACTAGACATGCCTCATAATGTATACATGGTGGATTCTATATTTTGATCCACAACTGCAAAATGTTTTACCCCTACACTGAAATTTGGCAAGACATGCGAAACTTATAAAATGTTTGGCAACGTTTTGTAATTTCAAGACCGCAAATGTCAATTGCTTTTCAAGAGTTTTTTTTTTTTTTTAAAAAAAAAGGATATTTATAAATCTTTATTATGATAATAGGGTAGTTTTAATCTTATTTACTGTTATAGGTTAATTCATGCCACCCAAGCTCTGTTATGTATCTATGTCATTATTTTTCTTAATTATTGACCTAACTTAAAGAGAAAATAAAGAAAATATCAAATAAGGAAAAAAATATCATATTTAATATTTATATTCTTCCTCCTTTTATATTTCCATCTAAATATATATTTTCCAAAATAGAAAAAAATTAGCTTTTTTTAATCATGAATATGTCTATAGTTTTTCAAAGCAATAACCATAAGACATGATGTATTTCTTTTCTATCAAATTCAAACTCTTTCTTATTTCACCTTCATGATTTTAAAGTTTATAGGCAACAACTTCTTAAGATTTGAAGTTTTTCACAAATATCCAAAAATATAAGTTACATAAAAAAAAAAAAAGAACATTTAGTTAGAACATGCACGTTCTAATAAACGAATCACATAATTTGACACGCTCTACGACCATTAAAAATTTAATATGGTTAATCAAGCCACCAAGAGTTTTTTTTTTTTTTCTTGGCTTGTATCTTGCGATATTTAAAATAGTTTAAGAATAACTTTTAATTATGAAAGGTTCTATTTATTATTTTTACACTATTTTTTACCAACATAATTGTATATGTGATTAATACCTTATATTTTTGTAAGAAATACCTATTTGATGCATGTGTAGGAGAATCCCTTGAGAGAAAAAAATATTGAATTTGTTAATGAGTTCATAAATCTCGTCTACAATCTACTCATATTTTCATATATATTTTTTTCTTAAAAGATTTTTAAAAACAATTGGCATATTTAATATTAGAAAAATTAAAAAAGAATTTGATGTCAACAAAATAATTTTAAAACACTTCTTTACAATTGTACAAAGATTATAGATTTATACTATGATTACCAACATTAAGTTGGGGTAATATTTCTAACGACGTAAAATAATTCTTTTGAAAGAAAACTGAAAAAGAATTTAGTTAGAGAAGGAGAATACAAATATAGAAAGAGCAAAATATATGAAAGAGAGAGAATATTATAAAATCAGCTTCTGTCTCCACTTCATTATTTGGTTTTTTAAGTAAAAAATTATATATATTAATGACGTGTGAGTGATGAAGTCCATGTGGCATAAAATACTCTATTATGGAAATACGATTAAAATTATCATATTTTGAAAATAAAGATTTTAAACTACTTTGTTTTAAGAAAGAACTCAAATTTCAATCTGGATTAGGCTTTGTTTGGTTTTTTTTTTCCTTTTAATTATATATATAATATTTAATTTTCATCTTAAACCAAATTTAATATTTTAAAAATCAAATTGAAGCCGAATAATTGAAATTAACTTAGTTTTGGTTTTTTAATAATCAAATTTAATTAAAAATTGAATCTAGTTGGTATTTTGATTTCGATTCGACTAATCGGTTTTAATCGAATGATGCTCATCCTACTAAACAACAACCTTTAGCAATTCAAATAAAAAAAAACTTGATGTTTGAAACAAGTAAGGCAAAAGAAGAAATCAATTTGAAAATCATGTCTAAACATGCATCTATAATTAAACCCATAAAGTAGACTCATTACATGAAAACTCATCTAAATACTTGTAATGTTGTAATTCATCCATATTCTATAGTTCAAAACATCACCCAATCAAACAAATTTCTCTTGAATCAATCTTGAAATCAAAGTCCTACGAAATTGAAGCATAAAATAAGTGACAATAGAGAGAATTTGAAGATTGCTAACTGAAATTGACAAAGACCAATTGGTATTTCTTAAGCAATCTACAATCTATAATGAGATACAGAGAAAATATGAAAATAAGATTATTGATAATTTTGATTTTTTTTTTTTAATTTGGCATCGATTTGATTGCCTAATTTTGAGTTGGATTAATGCTACAATCACGAAAGAAATTATTTCTCTTCTTTTTCGTACAAAATTTGCATGTGAAACATGAAATACTCTCCATAAACACTTTCTTGATAAGTTTACTGCTAGAGAATTTGATCTAAAACTTTAGCTTTAAAATCGTAAGAAAAATAACTTGTTTCTTGATGCATGTTGTCAAAACTTTCAACAATACATAAATGCACCAGTTTTTATTGATTGTTATCTTTCCAATCACATCGTCTTATAGTCTTTTCTCAACCTATAATTCTTTAGTTATTGTTACCTCCCACCAAAAACCTACACCCACATTTCAAGAGTTATAGGCTATGCTCTTAACCCAAGAAACTCATCTAGAGAATTCAAGATCCGCGACTACGATTTGCCTAATATATAGGAATATTGAGAGGAAAAGATGATATTTTATTAAATTAAACATAATAAATATTGGTTATTAAATAGTTAATTTTTAAAACAAGAAGAACTAATTAATTAATTTTTTAAAACTAGAGGGACTAGTTTATAATTTACTCTAAAAATATGATATGGATAATGAGAATGAAATAAAAGGGCTCTCTACGACCTGGTCCTTACTGCAATTTAATTTTAATCTGTGTTTTGCCCGCCCAAACACAACCTCAAAATCCAAAATTCAAAATTTGAGTTTTGTTTTGTTTTCTTTCATTTGTCCTTAAACAAAAAGGAAAAAAGAAGCCCAGCCGACACACGCGCACACAGTCATCTCCTCCACTCCCTCTTTATTAAAATTAAAACAAACAACATCCTCAAAATCTCCGAACTTATTAAAAACACAAAACCCTCCCTCCCTTTAATCACTCTTTAATACTACTATTAAAATCTAATTTAAATCATTTACAAAATCAAACCAAAATTCAAATCTCCTTCAATGGCCAACTCTGATTCTTCCACTGCTGCTCTCCCTGCTCCTCTTCCTCTCGCTTCTGTACTCAACCCCTCTCTCTCTTTCTCTCTCTCTCCTCGATTTGAAATTTCGTGTCGGTGTTTTTTGTTTGCAAATCTTAATAATTGATGTCTATTTTCTTTTTATTGCAGAAGAAAGAGAACATAACTCCGATTGGCTCAAAGATCGCTGTATGTTTGTTGTGTTTGCTTCTCTCTTTATTTTATTACTAATTCTTATGAGTTTTCTACCTTTTTGCTGCCTATAGGCTACAGTGTTGTAAATACAGTGCTATTTTTTGTTATTGTTTTTAGGAACTAAATGAATCGAGGACTGAGCTTGTTAATAGAATCCAAGGCTTAAAACAGGTTAGTCATTATTTTATTTTTTTCTTTTTCATATTGTCTTGAATATTTTTATTCATTTTTTGTAACTAGGATTTGCAAAGTTGGAGATCGAAGCTAGATACTCAAGTCAAAATCTATCGCGATGTAAGTAATGTGTTTTTTTTTCTTTTTAGATGATGATATGAATCAAGAATTCTTATTTTGATTTTGATACTTGGTGTCTGTCCCTTTGTGAGATTCCAATTGATATGTTTTTGTAATTGAATTTGTATTATTACTCTCTGCGGTGCTGTTAAATTAGATTGAAAAAATAAAGATAAAATCAATTAAAATCAATTGTGTAAAGTTAAATTGGAAAATATTAATGTGCTAACAGAATAAACTATCTAGACTCCTTGCAGTTGGCAATGGTGTACTCAATTTAGTCTGCAATTTTTTTTTTCTTTTCATAGGATGGTAGAGATATGCTACGCAATTTCATTCTTTTCCTCTTTTGCCTGTTGAATTAGGTACAATTAAAAAAAAAAAGTTGATGTGTAAAATTTAAATTGCTTAGTTTAAGATGAACTAAAATACTAAAAAAAAAGTTGATGTGTGAAATTTAATTATAAGAGTTTATGTCAATCAACTGGAAAATGTTGGTGTGGCAACAGGATAACTGTCTAGGCTGCTTGCAGCATGTAATGGCACACTGCTATTTTAAGGAAAAATGGGCAATTTAATCAATTTAGCACTGTATCAACTGATCATTATCCGTGCCTTTTGGCTTTCAATTGTTATTCGAGTCCTGATGTTCTTTTCTTCACTAGAAAATTTGTAGATTAGACCAATGTCTATAGTTATATGCAAATATCTAAACTGCAACCTCATATCTGAACTGAATGTTTCGTGCATACTGGAAAGGTAATGAAGTGCGAGGAATTTCATTTTTAAAATACACCCCACGACATTTCTGGGAGTGAACTGAAGAACACATCATAATTTGGGGTAATTATTAGTCTGAAATTTTATACTATATAGCACACAGTTTCACCATTTTTGCTTCAGCTACCCTCTATCTTCGTGTGGTTTTACAAACTCAACTTAGATAATATTGTACTTAAAGTATTTACTGATTACATGTATGTTATGCTGTAAATTAATTCAAGTGAAAGTGAATTCTGTATCTTTATACAATAGTGGCTTGTTTATTAGATACCTCCATCCATTCCTTTATTCTTGGTATTTTATCTAAATAGTTGGGATGATGAGATGCAGTACAGTTGAATTCAGGTCTCTTATGCAAAAACTTTCTTGCTTCATTCAGGAGTTGTCGGGATTGAAGAAGTCATTGAATGTTGAGGTTGATCAACTTCGAACAGTAAGTGCTACTCAAGCAATACCATTTTCATTTCCTTTAATTATAACCTTTTCTTAACATATCTATCTGAATCAAAATCAGGAATTCCAAGAACTGAAGAACACACTGCAGCAGCAACAAGAAGATGTTACTGCTAGCCTACGAAATTTGGGGGTAAAATTTTCTTGACAATTTTCTTCATGTGTCTTATGCATGTGCGCTTTGTTGGCAAATTTGGGAAATGATTTTAGAAATAAATTTAAGCCCCTAGATTGATGATTTATGAACTCTTGCAGCTTCAGGACAGCGCAGGTGATGCTAAAGAGGCACAAGAACCCAAGGTTGATGTAGAAGATAAGGAAGTGCATGCTTCTGTTGAAGAGGATATTGAGAAGGAAATATGAAAACTAAGATGTTTTGTTATGGAGCAAGTATTTCTTGTGCTTTAGCTCTTACAGGAGACGAGAATGTATCGATCAATTTATTTTCCTGGCGCTTTCGTAGGCAGCTGTGAGTCAAGCTCTTCAACTACGTACTCAGATTTCTAGTGCAAGGCAACTTTTTTTCTGAAATTCACATTTGCCTATTAGTTTCGTTTAAAGTACCTTTCTCCATAGATTTGAATGCCTATGGTCTTGTGGAGGCCCAGTATAATGTAAATTAAGACATTTCTTTCTTGCTTTATTCCTTTTATCTTGTTTTTTAGTCTGCTGGAACTTCTAGTAGCGATAGCCAAGACGAGTGCCTGTTAATGTTTGCCCTATTGGTTCGTGTGCTGGCTCATAATTATTTCTCTTGAATTAGCATTGCAGTAGGGTTGCATCCCCATATTACCCATAAAGCATTTGGTTTATGGAAATCTCTGCGGTATGGTTGGTGGTGAGGCAGTTGGTTAATACCATCCAGTAGTTTTATTATGGTTATTTTGGGTCCTTGATCTGTGAAAAGTGTGGCAATCATAGAGTACTTAGTCTGAGTTCTGACTGCAATCATAAGTTCATAGGTCTTTGTAATTCGTCTTTAATAATTTCTATAATGGTACTGCTTGATTTGGCTTTGGACAACGAAATTAGATTAGGATGCACGTCATTTGCTTCGTTAGAAGGGAAACCATTTCAGATTATCTTTCTTTTTCCTTAAAGAGAAATTTAAATTTCGACCTTTTGTTTCTACTTCCTTAAATTGCTTACACATGTAGATCTAATCTTGGTGTTATTGCGGGACATGTTAAACTCTCTTTTTTTTTTTATCGGCTTTTTTTACTATAAAAGTACGAATTATTTATATTTTTAATTATTTTGACAGGTTTTTTTTTAAAAAATGGATGGAAAATATATGAATTAAGCTTTTGATAATTATTTCACCATGGGAGTTAATTTTTGTCTAAGATTTCGAGTTCATTTAATGTGGCATGATATGTAGGATGCTTTATTGATAACAATTCATATAAGATGGCTTAATTTTTTTTATTGACATTGTACTATAAAAGTATGAATTATATATTTTTTTTAATTATTTTGACATGTTCATTTAAAAATGGATGGAAAATATATGAATTAAGTTTTTGGTAATTATTTTAGCATGAAAGCTATTTTTCATCTAAGTTATGAGTTCATTTGATATGGTATGACATGTAGGATGCTACCATAAGATGATAGCTAAAAATTAAAATTTCAGATTGAATGGATGACATGTTGCTCATTTATTCAAAATCAATTTCAAAAACCAACAAATCTAATTCAATTCATAAAATGTCAAATCTTAATCTTTTTTTATTCGGGGTCGATAGACGAATAAGTTCAAATTCCTAATCCTCTTCTCTTCTTTGCTTGATGAACAAGAAATCTAATCTTCTTCTCTTATCTCGCTCGACGAATCTTTAATCCTAATATTATTTTCTTCTTTACTTGACGAATCTTCAAGTCGTACCTTTTCTCTTCACAAAATTCTAAAACCAAAACCCACATTTGCATTTACATAACTTTCGAGAAACTCAAGAAAAATGGTGGGAATAAAAACTTCATTGGTTAGATAGATTCATATTTCAACGGATTTTTTTATGATTGTTATGAAATGTTGGATAAAGCCTTAATTTTTAAAGACTTCTTAACAAAAGTCTAGTTGTTAATACCGCATTAATCACAAAAATTATGGACTCGAGGATGATTAATTGCTAAAGGGAAATATTAATGGTTAATGGAGCATGACTATTATCGTATATAACTTTGTCATTATGTACTTTGATGGCGTGTTGTACTATCAATAAATTTAATTGTTTTCTTTCCTCTCATTAGACCTAATCATAGAACCGTAGTTAAGGCAAGCAAGGATCGATTCCATAGAGAATCGGCTCAATCAATGTTCTTTATTTTATGATTGTTCCAAAGTACAAGAAAGGTAAAAGGGGGATTTTATGTGTTGAGAGTATTAAATGTAGTTAAAACAAATAAAGAGATAGCAATAATAATAAAAGCCTTAGTTAGAGGTTGGTTTTCACTTTCGGTTCGGTCGTTGGTCATTGATTCATATATTAATCCATCTTATTATAAATATTCAATGTATAACAACATGTATATTATCTTAATCTCTTATTAGTGATTAGTTAATCAAATAGACACTATTTGATTAATCCCTAGTTATTGAATAACCTAGTAGACGCTATCTATATTTAATTTAATAACAATATTAAATAATAAAAAGATAGGTGGAGCTAAACAACTCTACTAGATGCTAGAAGAATTTAATATAATTTTATTTTTTTCAAGGGATTAAACGAACCGTTTATAATTATTAACTCCTAATTACTATCATAAGCAAGTTTAGACAAACAATTACGGACTTGAATACTTAGCTAGTAATAAATTATAATAATTAATCAACTAGCGTGTACTCTAATTAATCAACCATACAACCATATTCATATAACTTAGAAAAACATAAAATACTTGAAAGAATAGGATTAGAGATAAAACTCGTTTAGATCTCACAACAATTTTATTAAAGGTTTCAACTTTCCTTCAACCAAGAAAGATTCTTAATGAAGTATAATTGCTTATAAGAGAGAATTTTTATATATGGTGGTCGGAAAATGGGAGAATCCCTAGAATTCATAAAGTGAAACCCTAACTTCTCTATTTATAGCATAGGTAGGATTACAACACACACATACCAACCCTAAGTGGACATACAACTTGTTCTTTTGTTTCACATGGTTTGGAGCCTTAAAGAGCTAGTATCACACGACTTACTTGGTCGAGGCACACGGACGCACCTAATTTGTTCTTCATCTCATGTCCTTTAGTTTCGCTCGTGTGTCGTTTCTTTCTTCTTAAAAGACATCTCAGACATTGACACACACGGGCATGTCACTTCTTCTCGCTCAAGTTGTGTTGATTGCTACTACCCTCGTGTCTTCTTTACCGAATATCCATATAATTTTTTTCTTTATTTCATATAGCCGTAGTTTTTTCCTCTTATAGATCACATGAATGTGTGTTTTTTTTGGTTCCTTGGTGGCTTTGACATCTTATGCTCTTTGGTTTGGGTTTATTTACTCGATTTATCATTTTTTCTATAAATACCCAAAATCATTATCTTGTTCTTAATTACCTTAATATAATATAATAAGCATCAGTAAGTTTAACGTAAAAGGGCATAAAAGTTATGTAAATTATGCACCGATCAAATACCCTCACACTTAAACTTTGCTAGTCTTTGAGTAAAACAAATAAAATAAAAACCTAATTTACTTTGATAGGAATCACGATTGCATTTAGCTTATGCAACAAGCCTTTAAACCCTTAAGTTACTACTAGTGGACGAGTTGAGTCTTGTAAGGGTTTTCGGAAAATATACTCATAAAATCTTAAATAAATGTCATACCAAGTATGATTATCCTTCAAACATTAATTCTTAATTCAGAATTCAATAAAATCAAACAATCAAATCGATCATATTTAAAGATATTATTCTTGTGCCCATGCATGTCTCTAAATCGATTTATATGTTTTTATAACCAACATAATTTACACATGTAACGATTATTTTGCCTTTACCATCTTTCACTACTACAAGTAAAAGTAATAAATCAAGATTTTTTCTTAAAACTTTTTCTTAGTTTAGCATTCTAATCTTTTTTTAGGCCTTTAACATTTCTTCCCTCGGTAATCACTCATTTTTTTATGTGATTACTAACATTTATAATGAAATCAATCGGTTACTCAATAAGTCATATACTTATAGTGTTTTGTATACTCATAATTCAAGTTGCCATATGATTTAAAAGTAAATATTTTTTATGAATACACCTATTTACTAAGCAACTCAAAACATTCGAATAGAATTTTACTCAATAAGGCCAAATTTCTTGGAATGCTTTCTTTCTCTTTTATTTTTCAAATTCTCATAATAGTTAGAAAATCTTATTTACTAAACCTTGCTTAGGCCTAGTTTCAAAGGATAATTTCAAAATAAGCATCACTTCACAAATCATGCTTAATCATAAAGATAAATAAATCTTTCCGGTATGCATTCACTTCCACAATAACAATATTCCAAACAAGTATTAAAATTCTTATAAGATTTTGTTAAAACTCTTCATTAACAATCAATTAAGAAGGATAACATACTAAACCATGGTGTTCATTTCATCATTCCTTTTTTTTTTTTTAATAAATAACTTAAAAAATTGAAACACAAAACATACAAACAATATAATCAAACCTAAAGCTTTCCTCCACACTTAAATTTTAGATTGTTCTCAATATAAACACAAAAATCATCATTAACATATGAAATGTAAAGAGTAAGGGTAAGAGATCAAATATGAATTGCAGCACTCAAAAGGGAGTTAAAGGTGGTGGATGGAAGGGCGACTAGAGACACACATTAGTGCCTCTTATGCTACACAACCCGTGTATGGCTATTCCGCCCGTGTCTTTATCTTTCCTTGGAGCTTGAAGTAGTGAGTATGGAACACACTAGCATGTACGGATTTGGTGCAAAACCTATGTGTAATGTTACCGCCCGTGTATCTTCTCTTCTATCTTGAAAATACAACACGGATGGGGCCACACGAGAATGCCTTTTTGGAAGATCAATTCGTGTCTCTTGTTATTACTCGTGCCTCTTTTCTTTTATCTTGAACTTTTAACCACAACTCATGCACACGAAAGTGCCTTTTGACATGCATAAGTCATGCTCTCCCTTTCGCTCGTGTGGCTTTCCTTTCTTCTCTTTCTCTCAAAATCAAAAATCACCTATACCGCAAACATTCTCTAAAATTAAATCAAGTGTGGAGGGATTTAAAAAAAATGAAACAAGATTAACTTAAACGCCAATTAAAATAAAAAAATAACAAAATTTAAAATAAATTCATTGGGTTACCTCTCAATAAGTGCTTTTGTTTAACGTCGTTAGGTCAACATCACCTTTCTCCAAGCAACGACATTAAAATTTAATGATGAGCCATACCGTCAACAAATTTAATTATTTTCCTTTTTCTTACTAGATCCAATCATAGGACTATACTTAGGGTGAGTAAGGTTCGATCCCATAGAGAATTAATTCAATCAATGTTTTTTATTTTTTAACTCGTCTCAAAGTATAAGGAAAGGTAAAAGGTAGTTTTATATGTTATCCCTATTCTTTTCTTAGTGATTTGTTAATCAAATAGATGTTATTTGATTAATCCCTAACTATTGAATAACTTAGTAAATGCTATCTAAATTTAATCTAATAACAACATTAAATGATAGAAAGATAGGTGAAGCTAAACAATTCTCCTAGATGCTAGAAGAATTTAATCTAGTTTTATATTTTTTTAAGGGATTAAATGAACACCTATTTATAATCATTAACCCATAGTTGCTACAGCAAGTAAATTTAGACAAGCAATTACGAACTTGGATACTTAGTTAGCAATAGATTATAATAATTAATCAACTAGCATACACTCTAATCAATCAACCATATAATCGTATTCATATAACATATAAAAATATAAAACACTTAAAAGAATAGGATTAGAGATAAAACTCGTTTAGATATCGTAATAATTTTATCAAAGGCTTCAATTTTCCTTTAACCGTGAAAGATTCTTAGTGATGCATGGTTGTTTACAAGAGATAATTTTTATCTATAGTGGTTGGAAAAATGAGGAAATCTTTAGAATTCATAAAGTGAAACCTTAACTTCTTTATTTATAGCAAAAGGATCGATGACGACCTCTATGTGGACACATAGCTTGTTCTTTTATTTCATATGATTTGGAGCCTTAAAGAGATGCTATCATATGGCTTATTTAGATGAGGCACACGGTCATGCCTAATTTATTCTTCATCACATGTCCTTTAGTTTCGCCCATATGTCATTTTTTTCTCTTTGGAAGGCTTCTCGATAGTGACACACACGGATGTGTCACTTCTTATGCTCAAGCCGTGTTAATTGCTATTGCTCGCGTGTTTCTTTGCTCGAACATCCACATGGTCTTCTTTTTTATTTCACATTGTCCGTAGCTTTGTCCTCCTATAAGTCATATGGCTGTGTGTCTTTTTTGGTTTCTTTATGGCTTTGGCTTCTTATGCACTTCGGTTTGGGTTTATTCGGTTCGATTTAGCATTTTTTCTACAAAAACCCAAAATCATTATCTTGTTCTTAATTACGTTAATATAATATAATAATTACTAGTAAGTTTAATGTAAATGGACATAAAAGTTGTATAAATTATGCACCGATCATACTTGATTCTAAAATTTGCTTGCAAATACTAAATATTGAATTTTTAGTGAATCGAGTCATTTTTTCCAAATGCTCGGTGTTGTTGCAGTTTCAAAATGCCAATGGAAAGATGCAAATTTTGGATTTGCAAGGTGATTTCCTCCATCTTGATGAAAATCCTTTTAAGTGTTTAGTTTCTTAAAACTACATTGTGTAATTGCATCTAGCATTTTATTACATTGGATATGTATATTAACTGCAGGTGAAAAAGCATTATACTTACTCTTCGTAAGTATGAATTCGTTTTTTAAAGGTTACACATTTGTTTGAATTAATTCACGTTCATGCATTTATATCTAAAACTTTGTGCATTGTTGTTTTACAACTTAAGTGATTGAAAGCCTGTTCGAGAGAAGATGAGATTGCGGTAATGGTTTTTCTTGATTATCATATGTTGAGAAATGTATAGAAAATTGCATCCGATCTATCGGATGGTTTGGTACATTACTAACCATAGTTTTACAAAACGATTGCTATGTAATGTAACGATCGTTATTTAATAATAACGGAGCATTATGTCATCGTTATTCGATGTTATAAGTGCCCCGATACCATTTCACACGGATAATAAAATTACAAAAAAAAAAAAGAGCTAGAATTTCATTCATTTCAATTGTCGTAATTCAAGTAGTGATTAGATGTCGATGAGAGGTAGAGAGATATAGAGGATGAGAGGTTGAGAGGGAGAGAGGCGAGACGAGAGGCGGCGACAAGAGGTAGTGAGGGAGAGAAGTTTTAGGTGATATTAGATGAGAGAAGAGAGAGGAACTTGAAAAAAAAACCCTTTTATTTTGAAAAGCAAGAGATCCACGTGAAGGCTTTAATATCAAATACTTGTATTTACAAGTTTTGATTGAATAAATTATAAATTAGTCCTCTTATTTTGAAACAATAATTTAGTTAGTTCTTCTATTTCAAAAACTAATAATTTATTTATTTTTTTCCTTTTATATTTTTTAAATTTAATTTTCTTTTTGTTTTAAAAAATAGAAAAAGGAAAAAATAAATTTATACCATGAAAAAGATCGATGAAAAAATATTTTATAGAATAAAATATAACATATTAACTATGATCAATACTAATTAAAAAATTAAAAAATTAGTTTTTAAAACACTACAAGCTAATTAATTCATTTATCAAAACTAAAAAGACTAATGTATGATTTAATCTCTTATTATTCTACTTTGGTCTGTCTTGCATGCACAAATTGAAAGGTTGCAAAGTAAATGCTACTTTAATTGAATAAATTATAAATTAGTCCTTCTAGTTTGAAAAAAAAAATTAAGTGGTCTTTATTGTTTTAAAAACTTATTGTTATTTTTTTAATTTTATGTTATTTTCTAATTTGCTTTTCAAAACTAGTTATAGTTGTAATTTTGATAGACAAGAATTACAACATCAACAACAAAATGATAACTATTACTATAATTCACCATGACAGATGATTATTTTAAAGATGAATATTTTGTAATTTGTTTATTGAAATTGTAATGTACCTTTTTTTGTGATATTTATCTATTAGAAGTGTTATTAATTATTTTTTTAATAAATTCAACTATTGTTATATGATATTAAATTATTAGAGATGTTATTATTTATTAGCATGTTTAATTAGTAAAACTGTTTAAAATACATAAATTAGAATAAATTTATCAATAGTTGTTAATGTATTCACGGTTGCTGCGATCATTATTTTATTATAACGAAAAATCACAGTCTACGATCACAATCACGATCGTTTTTTCAACTCGTTACCGCTATTTAAAACTATGTTACTGACACATCCATTCCTTGTTGCCTGCAATGCTCGTCATTCATGTTGTTCCTACTGATGATAAGTTCGTATCTTTTGAGATGTCTGGCACGACAATTAGGTGATAGTCAGAGTCACGGTTAGAAGTAGATATTTTGCACAAGTTATAAAACCATTTGATGTACTTCTTTCTTTCTTTCTTTTCTTCATCTTGATCACACAACTTAAGCTAGGAAGATTTGTTTTTCTGATGTTACTTCTTCATATACTGCCAGCCAAGGCCTCTCATCATGTGGAACCCGCGTCTCATCAGTATGTGTGGGAGTTGGGATTAATGTTCGCAATAAGGAGAGATACTTCCTGAGGTAATGTTTTCAGTCTTGAGCTAAGAAAAATTGCATTATTATGTGATTGTGCAACAGTAATGTATTGTATCTCCTTTATTTGCAGCACATTCACAATAGTTTATTCAATGAGACCTTCGTCTTTAGGTGTTATCCAGGGTAGGAGCCACTTGTTATTGAGGACATTTCCACCATCTTTAGGCACCTTTTTGTCTTAGTTATACACAATATTCAGTCATGTTTCCTGTGGTGTTTTGATTCTCTCTGATAACTGCACTCCTCCTCCTCTCCGCTTTAATCATTTGTAGGATGTGTAAGATCTTTTACGATGATAAACATAGGCCAAACAAAGTGTCTTTTTGCCCAAGAATTCATACGACGTCTTGATGCTGAAGAAATCGAGGTTAGTTAACACCTCAAAGTTTTGAAGTCCCTGAATTTGATTAACAAGGAAAAGTAAGATTCTATTCAAAAATTGTGTATATTGATTACTAATTTTGGTTTGATTTTATACAGATTGTATTTGGAAATGCAGAAGAGAAATCAGAGCAGGGATCTTCTTTATTCAGTAAGGCAGCAAGAGTTTTCCGTTCACTTGATCGATTCATGAGAGCAATTTCAAAGTAGTTCCTGTCACCAGGGCATTCGTTTGGAGAAATATAAAATTCTTCGCCAGCAACTAAAGTTTTTCCCTTCTTGTTGTCCGTATTAAGAAATTTTGGATATGTCAATTGTCAACCTTTACTTGTAACTTGAAATATTCATGATAACCTTCTTTGCTCTTAACACTTTCCAGGAGCATAAAGTTTGCCTAAACTCTGGTTCTCATCCTCCTTGAACATAAATAATGTCAATTTGAAATACTGAATTCTGAAGAAATAATATTATGGAGAGGAGGTCATCATAAAAAGATACAATGTATAAATATTACTGCAATAAATAATCTGTAAAGGCATTATTAACACAATTCTACTTCATGGTTTCCTTGCAATTTTCTCATTGCAGCATTTGTGTGCAATCGAAAATGAAGAATACACATTCTTTATAATGGAATGATAACTAAATAAAAGTTTTAACACCTTAAATTTTAGTGACATCATCAAACACGGTCATAATCGTATGGTTCTTTTCTATCCTGCTTAATCATGTGGTAATAATTCCTATGACCTTAAAGATCGATGGCTGCCTTATTGGGTTCTCTTCTGTGCACATCATCCCTGCATTAAGCACTTGAAGACAACATTGCTCCAGCTTTTGTAAATCACCACTTGCATCTCCTACTTTAAGGACATGTCTACAACTTCTAAAATAAGGTGAGGAAATAAAGCATTCACCCACTTCCTTAGATCAAGCCCATCTGCAAACATTTCGCCGGTTGTTCTTTTTCGTGTTATCAATTCAAGCAGCATGATACCGAAGCTATATACGTCTCCTTTAATAGATACTTCAGTACTACCATGTCCATATTCTATTTACAACCAACAAGTACTGTTACCAAAATAAAAAAACAAAATCGAAAATATGCATTCCGGTCAGATAAATCTTAATGCACTGCTAGGTAAATGAAGTATCCAGACTAGTTTACACAAGGCAGTGAATTATTACCACAAGCCAATCGGATGCATACCTGGAGGAATATAACTAATAGATCCCCATAGAACACTTGTTGTGGCAGAATATTCAGTTGGTTTATCAGCATAAGTGAGCTTTCCAATGCCAAAATCAACAACATGGGCCACCACGTCAGCATTGGGAAGAACGTTTTGTGGTTTCAGATCACATTGCGCTACTTGAGTTGAGCGTCACGTCGAATTGAATTAGGTTTGGTAGTTTTTAAAATTAGTTTTGAATAAGTGATCATATAATATCTTTTCGATCTAAAATTTCAATTTTTGATCACGTATTATATTATATAAATTATAATCCACGATAATATTTTACATCTCATCTCATGTCATGTTAAATGAATTTAAAATATTGAATAAAAAATAACTTAAAATTTAACTTATATATTTTTTATTAATTTTTTTTTAAAAAACATGTCAGAATGATTAAAAAATATATAGTTAGTATTTCTACAGTGCAATAAACTTTTTTTTATCAATTCTTTTTCTCCTCATTCTTATTTTATCCTTACATCTGCCTCCCATTTGGGTTACAATTGTTATTAGCTTGTGAATAACGAGGAAACCATCTTGAAAGACCAAGTTCGGGGATTTATTTAGGTTAACGAGAGAAATATAATGGAAAGTTTATGCACTGTGTTGATTCTGTGATAATAATGAAATTAGTCCACCTGCGTTGGGCGACCCTTTGTTCAGTTCTTCTCTGAGTTTGCATTGTATTTTGTTGAAGTAGTGCATTTGGTGTAATCCTGTGACAGCTGTCTAAACTTTACAAGTCAAGTAAAATAAATGAGCCATCAATTCTCAACCTGCACCATTAATGGTCGTTGTCATAATTAATGATTTGCTTTGTCCATCCACCTTAATTAACATTCTTATGTTTCCAAGAAATTTGTTTACGTGTTAGAATACCCCAAAGTTATGACTGAAGAGAAAGAGATTAGGTACTTGTCCACAACAAAGAATCTCTGTACCAAGTTGTAACTTTCCTAGCTAGGGTGTTGCTGTCCTATCTTGAAGACGAAGATGACAAACCTCTTGTAAGTTTCTCCCACCGGCTACTTCAGTGTCTTATTAAGGCCTTTGAATGCCTGCTCTCTTGCCAACAATCGTTTTCTCCTCACCGATATAGATGCATCCCATGCATGGTTTTATTTATTTATGTGTATATGTATATGAATGTATGGAGAATCAAATGAGCAACAATGTAACTGCCTATGGTTTTTTTTTTTTTTACTGTTCTTGATGCTTTTACTCGCATATAAATGAGATCATGTACAAAATTCTGTAAAAGATGAACTTAGTTTTCGTAAGTAAAAGTTGATGGAAAGATACGAAACTATATTTAAAAATTTTAAGTATCAAACCATATATATATATATATATATATATTATTGAATGTAAAAATGTCCTAATCAAAGGCTCATTTTAATGTTCAGATTCTGAAATTTGAAGGACCTGAGTTGAAATTTTAGTAGATGAGTCAAAAGAGTCAAGGCTCGAGAGCTTGGAATTAATGAGTCTTTGCGTCATATACTAATATTAATTTATTATTATTGTAGAGAAAACAATCACGTACGGACAATTAATAAGGGAATGAACTCATCAACTGATCCATTTATTCTTTCCTCTCTTTTTAAACCACTTGAAAAACCTTTAAGCTATATCATTCGTTCTTTACTTTTACCAGCAGCTGCTCTCCTGCCCGGTCTTCTTCAAAAGTCTCTGATGGCTACAACAACATCTGTTCAAGAAGAAGCCTCTAAAGCTTTAAAATGCCAGGTTACTGATTACCACACTCTCCAGCACCATCCACACCCCACCCACACACATGCTCATCTTTAATTACCCTTAATTAATTGCTTTGACTTTATTGATTTCTTTATTTGTATTTCAGACATGGGTTTTGAAAGTATCTATCCACTGCCAAGGTTGCAAGAGAAAAGTCAAGAAAGTTCTACAAAGCATCGATGGTAATATCAAATGGAATCTTCTTGTTGTTTGTTTCTTTTAGAATATAGAAAAATGAAAAAAAAAAAAAAAAAGGAACACTATATTTAATGTAGTTTCGTAAGAAAAATAAAGAGAGGGAATTAAGGAGAAACTAAACCTCGTTAAATTAATAGGTTAATTAATCTAGATTTTCTATCCTTTTTGCTTTTTTTTTCGTTAGAGCAAAAAATGAGAACATGCAATGCAAGCCCTTGCTCTTATTGTACTCTATGCTCACAATGTTATATGTTAATTGATGTAAATGAATGGATTTAGGTGTTTATACAACAAGCATTGATTCGCAGCAACAGAGAGTCACAGTTACAGGCAACATTGAGGCAGGTACGCTGATCAAGAAACTCATGAAAACAGGCAAACATGCAGAGATATGGCCTGAAAAGCTTGCTACCAAGGAGAAAGAATCATCTGGGAAAGCAAAAAACATGCACAAGACGAATGGCCCAAAAAGTGTCCAAAATCACAGTGGTAATGGCAGCAAAAGATCTGTGATGTTTAGTGTGGAGGGCCTAGGTGAGGAAATCAATAATGGGGACAAGCTACCGGATAATTCCACCGCTGGACCGGGAGGAAATAACAAGGGCAGTATAACTGAGGGCGGTGGCAGTGGCGGTGGTGTAAACAGTGGAGGTAAAAAGAAGAAAAAGAAAGGGCAGAAAGGTAATGATGGCAGCAATGTTATGGGGGGATCAGGCTTATCACCATCTTCTGGCACATCTGCAGGCAGTGGAGATCAAACTAACGGTGTGGAGATGGATCAAGTTGTGGGCCCTAGTAATCTCAACCCTACACGTCAGCATTCGATTCCATGGCGGCAGGGTTACTCCATTCCTCAAGTGTATGCATCAAGTTATAGCATGGCATATCCTTGTGGAAGTCCTGCTCCTTTCTACCATGTTCCTCCATCACCATATACAAATGCAAATGCAAATCAAACCACACAGTTGGAGTCTTTCAACATTTTCAGTGATGAAAATGTCAATGGATGCTCTATCATGTAATTAGAATGTGGAGTGATTCTGTACTTGGCAGCTAATGGTGATGGAGAGAGTAGTATAGTTTTTAAAATGTGGGATCATTTTGCTTGGGGAGACATTAGAATGAGGATAATAAATTTTTTCTGCATATTATGGTTTTAAAGCAAGTTTGGATAAATCCCAATTAAGAAATTCAGTTTGTCAGACACAGTTGTAAAATTTTATTTTCCTTGTAGAAGTTGATTTGGGTTTTGATGTACGGATTTGGTTGTTGCATGCCCTTTAAGCTTCTGAAGTTGGAAAAAATTTGGATGTTCACTCCCTTGATGGATATAATTTGATTACCCTTTTTTCATACTCTAATCATGACATCATGTAATTGTATTCCATTCAAAAGCATGTAATCTCCCCTACCTTTACAAAGAACGCATTTGAGTTGAATCAATATAAAATTCTCTTCAAGAGTTCACCATTTGTATGGTACTTCCTAAATTCCATACTGGTGATCACAAGTTACTTTGTTTCGTCACAGGACAGGAAAGAAGGGTAGTTTATTTTATTTGGTAAACTGGTACACAGAGCTACTAAAATACATAAAAGACAAACATGGCATGCCGCAGTTGACATTCTGATGACCAGCTTTCGTCTTTCTTGAGATGCAGAAAGAATCTCTCTCAAAACCAACATTTACATGTTAATATGTGTTGACTCCTCTAATCGTCTTTACTATTTGATGATTTGGTATCTAGCACAAGAAGGTAATGTAACATGCTGAGCACTTGTTTCTTGGCAGAAAGAAGAAAAGAAAGCATGCGAAAAAGGCAGCAGTGAATGATCAGAATAAATAGTGATTATGTTATGATTGGTGAAGGCCTTTGAAAGATGAAAGAACCCTTTGTGTTTCCAAGGCTTATTTCCAGTTAATGCCACTCATAACCCTAATTTCGTTAAGAGTATCACTTCCACCACTCCTGCAAAAGACAATGTCATCCCTTGGAAACTTGTTCTGTTCTGTACTACTACTATCAGAAACAACACACTGCTGCCCATTGTTTTTGGTTCCCACAATCATCGGCAATCCCAATATTCTAAGGCAACTACTTTGTGTGATTATAAAGAGCATCATTTGTTTGTGGGCCTGAGAGCTTGCAGACACCAGTGAAATAAAGATGCAAAAACACAAAAAGTGGAAGCATGCTTTTAATAGTACTTCCACTTTCAGAAGCTTGAAAGGCAGAGAAACCAAAAGGAGGATATGAACAGAAAGTAGTGGGATCGAATTGGCATAAAAAGACAGGAAGCTGCAACAATGCTGGACCATCCATTCAAAAGTGATTCTTAATCTTAAAGGGAACCTATGATATATTACGGGTGGCTCTCTAGTAAAATATACGGACTGCTCCATCCGGAATGCTTTGATTATCTTGCTGCACATTTTCTGTTTCTTTCTTAGTTTATAGGAAAATCCAATTCATTTTAATAAAAAGAAAAGACAAAAGCTGTATTGTAGACACCGACCCACAGTTCAAAAAAAAAAAAAAAAAGAAAGAAGAAGAAGCCCTCATGCTAATTTAGATATCATACAAAAACTGGAGGATGATTATCAACATGGTCTGGCATCAGATATGTACAATTTTAAACCTATAACTACAGAGTAGAGACAATCAAATATTCTATTGCAAGACAGAAAACTATCCCATAAAACTTACACCCAAGTTGATGCCTTAGAGGTGCGAGTGTTTGTTCCAAGGATTATCACAATTACAGTCACATCATCATGATATTTTCTCCTCCTACCAGCTGGAACATTCATTAATTCTTCCAAGCTGAAACCTACAATAGCAATATTAAATTATTGAGATTTGAAAGAACAATAAACTTAAAAGTAAATCACTTTTATAGTTACAATCAGGCACGTAAACCAGTTGATATGCCATTCACTATTCAGGTTCCCTAATGCTTGAGAAAGAATTTGGAAGTGGCCAAGTTTCTTCTTTCTTTCTCTCACTTTTTTTCTCGTTATCTTTATTAGGAAGAAGCAGAGTTTGTACATGTCTGCATGTCCGTCTGACCGTCTCTATGTGCATCTACTTATGAATGATATATGTGTGTGTGTGTTTGGTTGCACAAGGAAGCATACATATATTATGTTTGAATTGCATTTGATGTTATATATATCATCAGTAGCAGTGTGACAGATGCAACAATGCAGAACTTTTTTTTATTTTTTGGCTAATGGAGGAATTTATAATGAATGAAATGGAAAAAAAAAAAAAAAAAAAGATATACGCCGTATCAAGGAATTTACCTGCACAATCAGCAGCTCTCCCTACAAGCTGCTCTAACAGAAACTTGGCTGGATCACCGTTGGGGTTGCTCAAGATGTAAGAATGGACAAGCTTTACTGCCTCATCGTTACTGAAGAAATCAAACAAGCCATCACTGCCAAAGATAACAAAGTGATCTGATTCTGATATCCTACGCACATTCAGCGATGGTTCGGTAGAAATGTATGGAGGGCTTATGAGGTTACGAACTCGAAGAATACCCATCAGTGCATCATTTAGGTTTTTCTGCATGAAAAATAAATGGCAAACATTACAGATAGAGTACGAATTTCAGGCACAAGCACAACGGTCTACCATGGTTCCTTTGGAATATCATTGCTAACTTGATTAATGATATATATGGAATGAATATTTAACAAACCTTTTTTAAGTATCCAACTCCCAAAGCTCGAGTGACCTTCAATTTTCCCTTGACTTTTCCTCCTGCAATCACTGCCGGGTCATCAGGATGATCAGACAACACTCTGGTTCTCTCAAATTCATTGTCTACAGTGTGAGAATCTGTGAGCTGGATAGCTTTTAGTTGCCCACAGCCTTTCATCTCACTTCCCTCATCGTATGTTGCCAATACAGCTCTGCTATCACCCAGATTAAGAGTATACAAGTCCATCCCATGAAGAAGGCCGACCAAGACACACGAACCAATAGATACTAGGTCAGGGCGATCCTCCATTTCCTGCTCTACCATGTACAAGAAATCATTCTCAGCCTGAATAAGGGCACGCTGAAGGCTATCAAGCAACCCCTGTCTAAATGAATCGAGTGAATCAGGAAATGGGCCATTATTAGCAGAGTTGTCTATACTTGAATTGTTCTTATTAAAACTTCCTGCAGGTGATTTCTGCACATGACTATTCTTAGCTCCCTCGAAAGCATACTGGATGGCCAAATGTGGATAGAAACCATTCGAAACTCCAGTAACATCCTGATTCAATTCACAGCCTAATAAGTTAGTCTGATGTAGAATGTTCTCATATAATGTTCCCGCCAGAAAATCAGCTGCATCTCTTCCATTGAAGCCATCATAGATTGCGCAAAAAAGCCAACCATTTTCTTCAGAACAGACAGCTTGAACCCTGTCTTCACCAGCAGCTCCACCTGCCACTTGAATGTCCATTGCATTAAGAAAACCTTCATTTCTAGAAGGAGCACTCATGGATCTTAATGAACAAGAATCATATTCAGGTGGACTTGGGGTGGATGGACTACAACTTAGGTTTGACATACAGCTTTGAAGAGAAGATGATACTACATCCAACCTTGAAAGATTTGGTGAAGAAGGAATCCTACGAAATGAATTAGGGGAATCCCAACTGGGAAGTATTTCTGCCCCTATTACACCATTGCAGATATTTGTGTTGGCCAATGTGGCATTCGCACTTAAGGCAGCACCGGAGAGGCGAGAGAAACTGCTATTCCTAGGGATTTTTCCAGGAAGGTTTTCAAACCCATTGGGAACCAGGCAAGAGCAACCGTTATGGGTGTTGCATTGATAACCAAAACTGATCTTGAATTCTCCTTCAGGATTAACTGTGCTTTCTCCTAGCATTATTTATCACTGAAATAAGGAAAGTATCTGCAATTAGTATCTCAATATAGAACATCAAGCAGCCTAATTTGACAAATTAATTGAAGTAAGGAAAGTATGTGCAATTAATTTCTCAATATGCGCATGCTAATGACTATAACACCGTTATAAATCATAAATAAGAATCAGTCACTAGATAGCAGAGATCCTTACAACACCTCAGTTCAAAGAGACTAGAAATTCTCACGGAAAGCTAATTAGCAGCATTTTATGGATGTAAATCTCAAAAGAACACTTTGGGTGCATTTGTTAATCAAGAGAATGGCAGAATCAATCAAGTTTCATCCCATGTTAGACAACTAAAAAGGGATCCTAGAGATGCAGATGGAGGGTTACATAATCCAATCCTATCTTATGCAACTGTAAACTTCATTTAAGATAGCTTTCTCTTAGATTTCAGATATGTAATGAAGCAACTACATTCAATAAGCATAATAAGAAGATTCAATCAAAATTTGCCTATCAAGAAACTCTGACCAATTTGTTGTTCTGATCCATATTTATATTAGGCTTCTAGCAATTTTTATCATGTCGATACATACATACAATATTGATCATTCCATGGATTTCGTATTCCTCTAAAAACTGAATCCATATATATATATATATATATATATAGAATTAACTAACCTCTGCAATGGAAAGACAAGCTGAAAGCAGCATTAAAGACTAGATAGATGAATATCATCATATACTCAGAAAAATACAAAAATTTTAAATCAACAAAGAAACAAGAAAACATCTACAGCACTCAAGACAACACCATAAAATGGAAACACTAAGCCAAATCCATACAGCAACCAAAATTTGCGAGGAAAAAGACACAAGAGACGGAGCTAAAAAAGAAAAAAGAAGAAGACCCACACGCAAAAGAAGGCAGCAGACAGAGAACGTGAGCGTGTTGTGTCTGTCTTAAGTGAGAGAAGTGTGAAGAAAAGGGGGAAGAAGTAAGAGTTGGCAAAGCAAGAGATCCAGGAGAGAAAGATACATATATATAGAGAAGGAAAGGTTAGATTTTAGATAGTGGAGAGGAGAATAAATAATTAGCAATAATATGTAACGTAAAGGAAAACAAAAGAGAGAGAAAGAAAAGAGTTTGGATTGAAAGAAAGAGGCAGAGGAAATGGAAATTTGGATGGTGGAGAAGAGTCTTTTGCTAAAATTAGAGGAATTTCTTTTGTTTAGCTTTTGCTTGGTTCACGTTTACCGGTAATGCCGTTTGTTGAGTTCTATTTCAACACTCCTCCTCTCTTCTGCTTCTCCCTCCAAACTAAACTACTATTTAGTCCCTACAGAATTTCAAAATATTCATTGCGTCCGTTTATGGTATAAAATAATTTTAAGAGCACATCTTCTTCTTCTCTATATATATAATTCCGAAAAATTTAATAAATTTTTCATCGATATTATTAACTCTTAAGATTTATGTCCAATGAAGTAGCGACCTCACTTCCATGTTTTCTTTTACTTTTGATTGTTTCTCTCTTTTATCCTTTTCCTCTAAGCCGCCGCCATATATATCCAAAAAAATTGAATTAATTTGAAAGTTGTTCCCTACCCATCGTGAGCCCTTTTTTTAGCTATCAAACTATTTGTGGCAAAATGTAGAAAATTCTCGCAAATATCGCTGCGTGTAGTATTATTAACCTATAAGGGTCCAAGTGGATTATTATTATTGGAGGCGAAAATATAGTTTTACCCTTTTTATGATTTATTTATGCAAAATAGATATACGGGTTTGTTACCATACTGTAATTATTAAGAGTTTTTTTTCTAATGGATGATAACTCCTTTGAAGTTACCACTATTGGGGAAACTATTTATGAGTAAGGTTGTCATAAAACGAAATTTATTATGAAATAATAAATGTCTATTTTATATTTTTATTACTTATTTAATTCATCATTTAATATGAGAAATTAAAAAGATGATGTAATTAATTCAATTACTTATGAATTTTTAATGGTTCATAATTTCTTCCAACTCTCTTCTTAATCTTGAAGTCTATAAATAGATTTAATTGTTTATTATTTTTATACAAGTGTTTTGTAGAGATTGAGAAAATTATTTAGAGTTATTATCTCTTATATTCACTTTATTTTATAATGAATTCATTTTTCTATCATTTTTTCTTCAATTCTACTATCGTCACCGTTTCTTTTATAATACATTATCAACATGAATGTCTAAACCAACCGAAATAATAGACCATAAAGTATGTATCTATCAAAAAACTCAATTATTTGTTTCAATCATTGGATTGTTTCTCTATACGAGTGCTCTACCAAAAGATCTAAATTATCTAAATCATTAAGAATATGTATCTAATTTATCATATACTTGAAATCTAATAATATATAGAATATACATTTAAAAAAATTAAATGATTTAATATACGTAATCGAATGATCTAATATATATTATTTAAAAAGTTTAAATTTTATTATTATATTTCATTTTTATTTCCTAATATTATTGTCGTAGGGCGACATAGGTGGTGAGGGCGATGTGTTTAGGCAAAACTAGGTAAAATAAGCAAAAATAATTAGAGTTGTCATCTAGTATTATGGTTAATAGAAAACCCAATGACTGGTCTCGTTCAAAGTTCTAGATAAAAGGGGTTTATTATATGCGGGAAAGATTAAAAATCATCTTACCCCATCTTGCCTAAGGCAAACTACATTACATACAAAACTCGATTTAATTTCGATTCTTTTAATGATGAAAATCTATACCTATTTTTCGAACATTTGCCCATCAATCAAGTGATTTGAGACTTGGTTGGTCAAGGACTTCGTCCTCACTCCGTAATGAATAGATAAGAAAATGAAAAGACATAATGAATGCAAAGATATGTGGCTAATGAGACTTGAATGGCGTGTGTGAAAAACAAGGTTTAAAAATTGACAAATAGGCAGAATATGCAAGATAGACAAAAATCGGCAAATAAGCAAAATAGACAAATAGGCAAATATGCAAAATAGACAAATAAACAAAATAAGCGAATATGTGAATAGGCAATTAGGCAAAATTAACAAATATGCAAAATAGACAAAATCGACAAATAGGCATTTAGACAAATAAAAATAAAAATAAAAAAATAGGCAAATATGCAAAATAGACAAAATTGATAAATCAACACATAGGCAAATAAGCAATTAGGCAAAATCGACAAATCGACAAATAGACAATTAGACAAAATAAGCAAAAAAAGACGAAATAGGCAAACACATAAATAGATAAGTAGGCAAAATAGCAAAATGACATAAAATGACAAAAATGACAAAATTAGCAAAAATCATTGAAGTTGGAAAAAAAGATAACAAAATTAGTAAAAAAATCGATAAAAATGAAAAAATTGGCAAAACAATGGCAAAGACGACAAAAACGATAAAAATAGCAAAATCGACAAAAAAATGACAAAGACGACAAAAGCGATAAAAAGAAGGCAAAAATGGAAAAATCAACAAATTTGGCAAAGATGGCAAAAGCCATCCGACAACGAGGATTCAAATCGACCCGACTTTGAATATCGTGATGTTTAAGCAAAATTGGCATGATATCAAATTAATCGTCATAATGTGCCACAATGGTCCGAAATGAGACTAAGACTAACATAGCTCGAAATCACATTTTTAAGACAAATTAGCATAATACCAATTAACCATTGCAATGGACAAAAACTATCCTAAAACGAAATTCGAACCGATGCAACTCAATAATCACATTTTTTAGATGAATTAGCAACAATATCAAAACTAATCGTTATTTGACAAAAAAAAATTGACCCACATGATGAGTTTTAAATTGACATGATCTCGAAGTTATATTTTTTAGATAAAATTAGCACGTGAGCGATTTAACGTTACCATCGGCGAAAATGGTCCAAAAACAATGTCTAAATTGATGCGAAGCAAGAATCGGACATTTTTTTAGGACAAATTGGCACAACTCAAATTCATTGTCACGATTGGCAAAAGTGGACGAAAAACAAGATTTAGACCGTCGCGACTCAAAAGTCGCACAAGCAACAATAAACCATACAACCACATCAATAATCATAAACATCGATCAAACCATACCAATACATTGACAATTTAATTAAATCATACACTTAGTAACGAGTTTAATCAAACCATACATGCAACACCATTTGTAGATTATGCCATCAAAATAATTCACCTTGATAATGTCGGTATATTTATCTCTCAAGTATTAAATTATTATACATTGGCTATTAGAATAAAGGCCGAACAACTTGTTGTTCATGTTCATAATAAAAAAGGTTTAGCAGAATCATTTATCAAAAGGTTTTAATTGATAGTTAAATTATTATTAAAAAATAAAACTTCATGTTTATGTTTGGGGACATGCAATCTTACATGCAACAATATTTATTCGCATCAAACACGTAAGTTATCAAAAATTCTTTCCCTTTCAATTAGTTTGTAGTCATGAGCCAAATATTTTTCATCTAATAATTTTTTACCATGCAATATATATCCGTAGTGCTTGCTCCAAAATGAACTAAAATAAGCACTTAAAGAAGATTGAGAATATATATTGGATTTAAATCTTCTTCGATAATTAAATATCTTGAACTAGGAATAAGAGATATTTTTACTTGTTCGATTCACCGATCTGTCATTTTGATAAAACAGTTTTTCCAACTTTAGGAGAGAGAATAAGTAAAATAAGCGATAAAAAATGTTAGAAAAAGAGATTATATAGAGTACTTTATCTTTTATATCATATTGATCTTTGTACAAAACAATATGAACTAAAAGTTCAGAAGATAATTCATTTATAAGGTATTGTAAACTAATTGCCGGATGCTTTCTTAGATTTAAAAAGGGTAACTAAAATGCATTTCCTTGCGAGAATGCTTCTATTAGAACTAATGTATTAATATTATAGCAAATGAATCTAAAGTACACCTAAAGTGTGAAAGACTCGATCGG